TTAATCATGCTCAAATGCAAATGCTAATCCAATAAGTGCTCGCGCGGCAATATTAATACTTTTGAACAGAAAATATAATTTTTTGAATTTCGCTGCACGCAAGTAGTGACTATTAATTAGTTGCAAAAAGGCTTAAATTGTTTACAAAGCCAACTTCACCGATCGAGATGGTTACGCCGACGCTTCACAGTTGTTGTTCGCCGCAGGCATAGTTGTAGTTGATATACAAATCTTAAGTAGCTCTCCTCAAAACGAAGACTCTGCCTCGACTAGAGTTGTGCGCGGCTGACTTACTCGTATCTTTTTCATCGAGAAATAAATCTTAGATCTTATGGGTCTTGAGTTGTGAAGGAACCAAGAGAATGCTGGTTAGTTAACCAGCAACTGATGACAGATGAGATGCGTACCTTAGAAGTATGCAAAACTGCTGTTGGACTAGCAGCTTTGGTAGACCAACTACATATCCCGGGAACAATCGATTTTCCATCGGATGCCAGGCTGTTGAGAGTGTTTAATTATATTTCCGCTTTATTAAAAGAAAGTTAAAATCGAGCAGTACAATTGTAAAGTGTCCCTAAGGAGTCCCACAAACCGTCCATTGTGACAAGGCGACAGACTTCGTCGGAGCAACTCGCCAGGGAGTCGCAATTCGCGGATTCGCATCAAAAAGTGGATGCGATTTTACGGTAATACCGCCAAAAGCTCCGCACTTCGGGGGTCTGTGGGAGGCAGTTGTGAAGCTTGCAAAGCTCTTAATCCTACGGACGATGGGCAGTCTGCAGCTAACGGTCGAAGCTACAGACGATTCTAGTCGCAGTAGAAGCCGTGATTAATACCAAGCCCTTGGGAGCGCTAAGCGGGAACAGCAGCGTATTCTGCAGTTCCCATTCTCCGAGCTTCTTAGTAATAATCCGTACGAAACTCAGTACGCATAGCTGTACGGCTCTTAATTTTTCCAGCATGCTGAAGGCAGGACCGGAAAGATACATCTCCAGGACGGCGTGTACAACGTGGCTCAGTATGTTTATTGCAGGGCCTATATTACTGTGTGGCTACTGCGATTCCATTAGAAATGAAAATGGTGGGCCATTGAACCACCATAAGCATGACCATGACCATGAATTTCAAGCATTTTTCCAGAGAGCACCCTTCCGAATATGGTGTTTGCGCTACTGTCCTGTCTGGATTATTAGCTGATACAGCTCCGCACTGAGCACCAAGGAGACGGTGTCAGCCCGATGGAACTCAGGATCCGAATTCTCTTGCGGAGAACAACTTCAATTTTCATGTCCTCAGGCCCCTGCTGAGATAGGCAGTGCAAGCCCCTTCTGCACCAATGCTTGTGACAGAAAGCACAAGGATGCATTGATCCGACTCGTTGGAGTGCACGGATTAAGTAGTGCTCGAATTTCGAAAGATTTTGTACCGTCTCCCACGGCCACCAATGTAGTAAGCAGAATACTGATGGTCTTGCACTGGAGGAGCAGCGACAGCGTTGTATTGGTGGGCATGGTGGATCCGGAAAGCAGAGAGGGGCCGCGTCCCAGTCTTCGCATTTCGCGCTTTGGCATGCGGCTTGCGCGACCTTGGGTGCGCTCCTGGCTTTATCTCTTTTATTTTTATGCGGAGCAGGCTGTGGTCATCCTTACCACAGGAACGGCAGCGATCATTGCTGCGCCATGATAGGCGTGAGTGCTCGTGGGCAAGGCAGTTGGGGCGGTGTTGTTGATGCGTACTACCCGTAGGCGCTTCTCCGGGCTCACGTCCTTCCTCATTTCGTGTATTTCATCGCAGACCCGTCATTTAGACGAGACCATTCCTCGGGGCTGTTGGCACTGCTGGTTGGCGTTGCAAGGAACTATGTTGCTGAAGTAGGAAAAAAAATCTGTTAAAAATAATATTGATTTGAAGACACAAAGGACGACACACGTGTTAGTTTGGAGGTCTGTATATACGGCACCCTTCCATTGGTCATGTCATCCTTGTCTGGATGCGTCGCTTGCACTCTGCCGAGCCGCCATTTGTTGGATGGAAGCTTATCTTCTTTGACGATAACGACGTCGGCGTTTTGAAGGTTTCTCGTGGAATGCAGCCATTTGTTGTTTTTGTGCAACTGCTTGAGATATTCCTTTTTCTAACGGAAACAAAACTGCTGATTAAGGGCCCTGAGACGTTGCCAGCAGTTCAGGATGGACGCTGCGCTCTCTTTAATTTAAGGCTCCAAAATTAATATGGCTGGGACTGAGGACCAGTAGGTCAGCTGGGTTCTCTAAAAATGGGGAGATTGTCCTCGAGTTAAGGCAAACTTCTTGTTTGGGTAAGATTGTCGATAACTCTTAAAACGTGAATTTGAGAAAGGAAGTGGACTTGTAAAAGAGCGTTTTGAAGCTCTTTGCGCTCGGGGAGTTGAAGCGCCAGGACACATTTTAATGGCTCTAAGAAGTCACGCGATAGGTCCTTTGAGACTCCCACTAACGTGTTGCCATTGTCGGATTACATTTGTTGGGGGCATCCCCATCGATAAACAAATCGAGCGAAAGTGGCATGGAATTTTCCGGTTGTTAGGTCCGAAGTGGCTTTCAGGCCATACATTTAAGCTCGTATGCTGAACCATACAAAGACGCATACATAGCCCTTGGTGATGAGGCATGCTCGATCTGTGTAGTTTTTGAAGACGAACGGCCCAGAAAAATGGATGCCTTTGTGAGTGACCGGGCGGGAAAATATGGTTCTTTCGATGGGTCACGAGTTGGGGTCGCAACTTCTTGCGGTAAGCTTCACATACCCTGTGTTTTAGAATCCAGAACTTGAATTAGATCAGGCGCACCATTATCTGAAAGGGCAGTGTAAGGAAGGAGAATCGGATGTTATTCGTCATAGCGCAGAGACTCCATGAATCCATTTTGATCAATGAACGGATTGAGACTAATGGTGGCACTTGAGCTACTCAATGCGTTGAGTGTGTACAACAAGCCACTGTTGAGCTTCGGATAGTTCAGTTCTGCTGATGCTCTTTTGGAAATTGAGTATCGGATTTCTGACAGCGCTTTATAAAACGGTAAACATAGGTCATGACTCGAACTGCTTTTCCGAATTCGGAGAAATGGAGAAATTAGATTTGCTAAGTTACGGGTTTCACGGGACGAAGCTCTTTTTTAGTTTCATGGGTTGATTCGATAGAGCTCTGGTTCCTGCTACCACAAATCATTGGCCACGAGTTTGCACGAGGGGACACCTCTGCTCGCCAGAGCAGCACGGTTGCATTCGGAGCGAACGTGGGACCATTTGCTGAAGTTGGTGGATTGTGCAATCTTGGTGACTCTATTAGCCACAAAGGCCGTCCACTTGCATGGTGGCTTGATGAGCCAGGCCAGCACAAGAGTAGAGTCTGTCCAGCAGAAAGGCTCCTGTCTTTCAAGGAATGCTGCGGTCTGAACCTATTGCACCATCTGTGGATGCGTATCTTAATTAGAGTTGCATAGCTCTCGAGGAATGCTTTCCACCTTTGGAGGAGCTGTCTTGGCAAGTATGCATGCCAGCCCAGATAATGAAGCCAGATCTCTTGCATGAAGATCTTAGCACCGACCAAGAATAGTGCTAACCTTCCAGCTGGATCGAACAGCTTGGCGATTTGTGAAAGCACCTCACGTTTCGTATGGGATTGCTTCATTTTTTAGGGGACAAAGAGGAACTCATCGGTGTCTACCTTCCAGCAAATAACCTGGTTTTCGTAGGGCACGCTTCTTCTATTTCCAAAAATCGGCTCTGAGTAAATGATTTCTTTTAAGATTAATGAGTACAGCCTTGTCATTGGAGGTCCATTTCCGCAGTGCCCAGAGCTGTGCGTTGCTCATCTATAGCTTGGACTGCACCACTTTTGGTGTGTACCCCGGTAAATGACGTCGCTCACCAAATGGTAATTTGAGCGAAAACAGCTGCCGCAAGACCCGAATCGTCAGAAAGGAACGCAGTTGACACCGAAGGTGTGGGTATTGAGCTCATAATAATAAACTCCCCATCACCTTTCCGGTACAAGATTCTTTGTAATGGGGTGTGGTTTGGGTACATACGGATTTGCCGATACATTTTTGTAATATCGGCTCTGAATACATAACGGAAGAAACGCCATTTCAAGCTTTGGATGCTTAGATCGGATTGTAGAACTGGTCTTGGGTGTAGGACATCGTTCAAACTGTTTGCAATTTGAGGAAGGGCTGAAGGCGGTAAGCACAGCACGAATCTCTGGTGGTGCTGTCTGTGATGAGGGAGATAGAATCGTTACTAGGAAGGACTTGTCTTATATGATTTAAGTCCAGAAAACCCTTAATAATGGAGTCGCTCTTTAAGTGAAGGGATTCTCTTTAAACGACTTTCGTGTTTCAGAAACTGAGCGAGTGCGATGGACCTCGAATGTTTCTGATTTCTTGAATGGTAAATTTACTATATATCACTTCGCAAAACTTTGTGAGAAGATCATCTAATAGTGGTTCTAGGCTGATCGAACTCATTATGGAAAATTTGCATATACATACATAGACGCCGCCAATTGACTTTCGGGCTCTCTCATTTGTGCGGTAATTCGTCGGCGCCTTGCCTCCTTCGTCGAAGCTCGCTGTGCCGAGCTTCAAATCGTACCGACGAATGACGTGCGAGTATTTTGGCATCAAGTATCGAACTGCTATTCCAATTCTTCCGCCTTGGATCACTTCAAGGCATTATCATTTTGTCGCGTTGATGTTTAAGGTAAGTATGCTCACTGCTGGGGTCCTGACTTGTGCTTTGCACTTTGGTATAATACAGATTGTGACTTGACTTGGCTAGACACCTCGGCTGCTCGGGAGCCTAACGATGGGATAAAACTAACTGCTAGGCAAGAAAGTTACAGGCACAGCCACGTTGCTGCTGCAAAAAAGTCGTGTCGTCGGCAGAGGTCAACTTATAGAATGCACTGCAAAAGCTTAAATAATTGAAAACTTCTTTTGTAAGCGATATCTTCACATTTTTATTTGAACAAGTGTGATGGTGACAAAGAAATTTGCTAACGCAATATAAATGTTTTATTTGTTTACCACTATTTCTGATTTTTTTTTATCTTGAAAATTTAGCTGGTAAGTAGACAATGTGAGTCGGACTGCTATGTGTTGGTCATTTTTCCGTCAGGTTCCTCCGCAGGATGACCTCTTTATTGAATTAGCTTGAAATTGTCCACAAGATTTCAGCTCCGTAAATACTTCGGTGAAAAATGCTGGTTCTGCATTTATCTTCAGCATCTTACTACTTAGTCTGTTCACGATAAATAAGCATCTGAAATAAAATAGACAGATTTATAATAAATATTTATATTAGAGTTCACTTAATAGCAGAAAATATTGCCTTGTGGTCTCAATATATTCACGTTGTGTATGGTTTGATTGCAGTTTTTAACTAGTAAAAATATTGAAGTCGAAATACTTGTAACTCTCAAAATAGTTTTGAAGGAAATTTTAACTTTTTTGCGATGGATACCTATCGTTTGTTGCGGAGAAATCCATAGCGTTGAAAATGTCTCTGTTTATCTAATAACATGCATGTTGCATTGTTTTACTTTATTTGAGATGTGTCTTTTGTGTGCATTTGGCTTTCTTAATAAGATTACAGAGACAACCAATCATTTAATTGTGCCAATGTGAAAAAGTGTCTATTTATGATATTTAAAAAGCATTAATTTAACAGTCGAGGGTGTGTTAGATGCCGAAAAAATACACAAAAATAGCGTTTTTTTTTAAATTTATTCTATATCTCCTAAAATATCTGAGGTAGACAGATCAAGAATATATATGGTATACACCTTATGGGGTTGCAGATCCTTTCTTCCCACTGTATCACACATTTTAACATCCGCTTATTTATTTATATCTTTTTCCATTGGATATAAAGAGCATGATCTTCATTTAAACTCTACATATATCATTTATAATATTTAAGGAATAAGATTTCACCATATCGATAATTTAAGGAGATCGTCAGAGGATATTATTTAAAATATGTTCATTTAAACAATAAAACTCTGATATACTAAAATTTATATTATTTACTAACATTTGAGCATACAACGTCTCCACCGACGACATCAATTGGAAAAGTTGTACCACAACAAACAACTGAAGCGGCATAAAATACCACATCTGACTGCAGCGGAAGAATACAAACAGCAACAACATAAAAAGTTTACCCGTATCAAATAAGAGCATGTATGTAGACCTCTCATTGATGTCCTATAAGTTTGTATTGCAAACAATCCCCAATCTTTGTGTAGCAAGAATAAATGAAAGCCCTCTGTGAGTAATAGTGAAACAGTAGATTTACTCTAAAAATTTTCAAAATTCAGCAGTAAAGACTGCTTACAATTTCATCGTGAAGTGTTAAAAATCGCACAAGAACTCCAATAACGCCATAGCACAGGTAACGTTTCAGAGATTTAAACGCCATGGTAGAAAATTATAATGCCCCACATGGAAAACATTCCCATTTTGATAGGCGACAATAACCACTTATCGCATCCCTTCAAAAAAAGGAACAACCGCAACCTAGGAATGTAGACAATTTGTCACTTTTTAGTTAAGCCACACATCACCAAAATGGCCCGAGAGAAACAGACAAGAGACAAAGCAGTGGTTTACACTGAAACATCAATGAATGAATCATCTGACCCAAGACGATGCGCCACTGGACATCCTCGAATACCAGACTATTGAAAGCTTAGAGGCAGACGACGTTAACGACGACCACGCAGAGTACGATCAGGTTAACTTTTTAGATACATCGGCCTGTTATCTTTCTGGCGAACATTTTGATAAAGTATTTTTCAAAGAAAAAGACGCTGATGCATTGTCGCGTCAAAGCTTTCACCCTTTAGATTCTAAGTCAAATCTTGCCACGATACATAGCGAGCTATCACTCACATGTTTCGTCGAATCCACAGACAAAATAATCAACTGCTTTCAAAACCAAAAAAAAAAAAAAAAATAATAGAAGAAAGTGGAACTGACTCGGATAGAACTAGAATTTTTAATTGCAAGAACAGATTAATAAGCGAACAGACGGAGTAGGTATTTTAATAAAAATATCGAGGAACATCCCTCTCAAGAAATAAAATATTAATTTCAGAACTTAAAATTCTAATGCGATTCGTTGCACTCACAAAGGTCAGAGTTGTTAACCCAGCATTATTCGACTACAATGATTTACAAAACATAATCAATGAGCGTTCTACGAACATAACCCTTACTGACTTTATAGAAATAACCAAAGAGGTTTTCTTTAATAAATGTTAGAATCAATCAATTTTGCCGATGTTAACATCATAGTCGACTGCGGTAATGAAATATTACCAATTGGCAACTACAGCGCTACTCTCACAATTTTAAAAGATTATCGTACCCAACGTGCAGTTAACAAATAAACTCTGGAGTCACATCAAAACTGTGACTGGAACGTTTCTCCTTACCTTCGACGTGGAGGTCATGGTGAATGGTACTTTATACCCTAACGGAAGGAGTTCAACATTTCCCGATATAACAGGCCACAATGAAATATTAGGTCTACCATACTTATAAAGACTGAGTAAAGAGAATGTGCGGTAAATTGACGAAATCGAGGAGGAATTGATTAAACCGACCTTAAGGTCAAGATTGAACGTAACTATTTTTTGGATTTTTTGCTAAGCGCCAGGCGACTCGAGTTCAACGAGATATTCTGGCTCTCATTGAAGGTTTCACTTCAGTATGGAAGTTTAAGTATGGAAGGTGTTATAACGATTACCCTACAAAAGAGCGCTGCGTTTCATCTTCTTCTCATTAGCGCAACACCGTGTTTACACATATTAAATTACTCTGAAGCTTCTTAATTTTTATATCTTTATATTTAATACTAGAGGGTGTAGCCAGGCCTTGCCCGTGGCACGTATAAAATAAATGTTCACAAAAAGCTTTGAAAATGATTTTGAAACTGATCGGACGGTAAATAAACAGCTTTCATACAAACGTTTACTTCCAATTTATCACAGTTGCGGGTGGAATTTCCCAAATCGTTGAAACACGTATTCATTATGTTTTTATGTAGAGCTTTCAAATTCGAAGCAAATCGGAAAACAATTAAAAGTCACCAAAAAATTCTTTGTATTACACTTTTTACCGAGGATTCATTGATTCTGCGAATAATGTAAAACTGGACTCAAATGATGTTTCTTATGGATCCTTGGAAATGAATTTAAGCGCGAAACGTCCCCCACCAAATCTTTGACACCCATTGAGCAAAGATTTTTGAAAAGGAGTTTGAGGTTAACAAAATGGTTTCATACCAACGTTTTTCGCTAATTAACCACTGTTGCGGGTGGAATTTTCCAAATCGCTGAAACACGTATTATTATTGTTATTATTATTATTATTATTATTATTATTATTATTATTATTATTATTATTATTATTATAGTTATTATTATTATTATTATTATTATTATTATTATTATTATTATTATTATTATTTATTAACCAATGCTGGTAGCTTTCAGGTTATCTTAACTTAAAAATATCACATTAAATATCTAACCAACTAAACAGAAAATACGAACTTAAAGAAAATGTAAAACTAATTAGTTTTAAAAAAAGAATTCTTTAAACTTATATTTAATATGAGAACTATTGGCAGAAAAATCGAAGTGCATATCAGTTGGAAGACTGCTATAAAGCTTTAATGATCTGTTGATAGGCTTGTTATTTGCATAAGCAGTTCTATGACACCCTACAGAAAACGGCATGTGGTATCGCAAAGACCTGCTTGGCACATTGGAAGGGAAGGGCAGTCAATAATTCCTACAATTAAATTGTTTAGAAAAAGCAACGCTGATATCACTCTTCTATCTTCCAGAGATGACAAATGTAGTAATCGACACGACGTATTCATTATGTAGAGCTCTGAAAATCAGTTTGAAGCAAATCGGACACCACTTAAAACTACGCCCAAAAACTCTTTGAATCGCATTTCTACCAAAGGAGTTTAGATTTCGCGAAAAATGTGAAACATGTCTCAAATGTCTTTTCATATAGATCCTTGAAAATGAATTTGAGGGCGAAACTCCATCCACCAAATCTTTGACCCCCATTTCCACCAAGGAGGAATACATTTTTGGAAAAGTGTGAAACACCCCTCAAATTAATTTAAACAAAGAACTTTGGAATTGAGTTTGAAGACGATCGGGTGGTAAGCAAAAAAGTTTCATGCAAACGTTTTTCGCGATTTTTCCATACTTGTGGGTATGGGTTTCCCAAATCGCTAAAACACGTATTCACTAAGTTCGTATGACACCGCTCAAATGAATTTGAACAAAGTACTTTAAAATTGAGTTTGGGTGGTACTTTCACTTTCACACTTTCATCACATAAGGTAACTACAGTGAAAATTTCAGCTTCCTAGCTCTTACGGTATTGGCTGGGCGTTGATCACCAATCAGTCAGTCAATAAGTCAGTCAGTCAGTCAGGATAAACAGTTTTATATATAGAGATTCTAGAAGCTACATGTCAAGTTTGGTGATTATACGTCTTAAACCTAAGATATGTGAGCAAAAACACGAGTTCAATATCGATTTTTATCCATTACTTAGAGACGGGGCAATTTATCTATCATCCATCCGGGGGCCCTCGGAGGACCTACATCCAAAATTTCAAGACGGACAGATAGACGGTAATGGCTAGATTGACTTGGCTATTGATGCTGATCAAGAATATTTATACGGCCGTCGGAGATAATTCCTTCTCTCTGTTACATACATTTTGCCAAATACATTGTACCCTTCTTACTCATTTTTAATTGTTCAGGGTATAACAAGTTTGTTTTACCTGGCAAACTGATCGGTGACCAACGCACAGAAGCTTTCTTTTGGTTAACTTTATTAAGTTTTCGCTTCTGTTAACAGCTGCCTTTCGATAAGTCATCGATATCAGTATAACATAATATTTTTATATAATACTAGCGGGTGTTGCCCGTTCTTGTCTTTGTTCACAAAGTACACGCCCTTGGAAAATTGAAAACAACACATCGTAATCTTTACTTCTTTTAAAAAATATTATTTAATTGAATCAAATAAAGAACCAAGTGTTAGAATCAACGGTTCCTGCTTATGTTAGGCTTGCGGTGTGTTCCTTGAAGCTGAAGAATAAACTCTCGTTGAAAATCGCTAAAAACACATACTCATTAAGTTCTTGTGTAGAGCTTTCAAATAAATATAATACAAATCGAAGAATACTTAAAACTTCGTCCAAAAATCGTTGAATCGCATTTTCAACCGAGATAGCTTTGATTCTTCAAAATTTGAATACTTGAATAGTATATCAAGTGCAATTATGCATAATTTTAAATCTATCTCAAATAAATACATAAATCATTTGGAATTACCCAACAATCTAATGCACAATTTGCAATGGAAAGCGTGTGCTTATATTGACACGTGTTTATGCACGTCTTAATTGAATTTTATAATCGTCCTGTTTGCTACGAGAGTTTATATATTCAATTTTTTTAAAGCATCTGTAATTATCGTGCAGTAAGCAACGATTTTCCGTTCCAATCACTTTACCAATAAACTTTACATCCGCTCCTTCCGATAAAAAAGGATTTTTTGCCATCAAGTGTGAAAAGGGTCCCCACTCTTTTTTAAAAAGAGTTAGCTATTCAAGCAACTTCTTCAAGGGTGTCCGCTAAGGGTCCGAACAATTTTGGTATTCGGTACTCTCCTGATATCTCTCGTGCAGCAGGTTTTAAATTCAGCAGCACCCGAAAAATAGCGCTCAGCGAATTCATTACCTTGACTGACAGACTCTGTCAGTTCGAGGCAAAAATTAACTCGTCCTTGAACCTTGTAGTGTCGCTCTACACTCTTAAAGTCCGTTAGACCAATAAAATATAAATATGATCACAGCTAATTTGCTTATGAGCGCTGTGCCCCTACTCTTAATGAGCAAATAGAGAGCGCGACCGCCCTGATCGCGGCTTCTGCTCCCAGGCCACAGCCAAGAGGCTGCAGTCTCCCTTCCATGGAGATTGATATTTTTTATGTGGAATATTTAAAAAGGCCCACATTCCGAGACCTTTTCACAGCTGTCTATATAACCAGTCTACGGTTAACAGAGGACGAAAAAATTTTCCATCGCAACTCAAAAACAGACGGGGAAACGAAGGCAATCGTGTCGAAGTCCCCTCTCACAAATGATCGTTTCGCATCAGTGATGAGTGACTTAACTGACAGATTTTTGAACTAGAGGCTGTTAGTTAATAGCCAACTTCACGTCGTCCTTAATCTTTTGTCAGTTTCGCAGGAACAGGAGCTGCTATTCAAGACCTACAGAGCACCATCAAAGGATGCTTGACAGCTCTATAGTATTCCCGCATAAGTACTGTGAATTGGGAGTGCCTTCTATTTAACATGTGCGCTTTTAAGCTACCACAGTAGTTGCACAACAAGGTAGACATTTCGACATGGCACGACCTGAATTCCTTTACTTTACTTTACTCAAAGGAGAACTATACAGTGCAATTGGGCCCCCGGGGGCTTGCAGATGTCCGCTGGTGATACGTCCAGCTACATAAAATAGCAAAAACTCTGCCGGCACGGGTATTATGAACATTTCTTATTTAGGCAGTTGTTACACAGCATGTGCAGTCATCGATTCGGGATCGGAAGCGACGGTCAGCTTCCTTTCCGTCCAGTCCAGAAGTAACCGGCTTAAGTCAAGCCATCTGAGCCAATTTAAAACAGTTATGTCACTTCAAGATAGGCTCCCCAACTAAGCCGAGGATCCAAATCAAAGTCCCGCTTTCGTTCTGTCTAATCCTACTTTGCGGCACACAATCCAACATATGCGAATCGCTACTGGGCATGAAAACCATTTTCAGTATTGATCCTGACTGGCGCAGTAGTTAAGTCGAATGTCGGAAGTATTTATACCTTTTCCACAAGGATTTCGGTCAGCCCCGAACCACTTTAAGATGATCTTAATATGTTTTGGGAGGTGGAAGATCTGCTAGCCAAACTGACGAAAGAGCCAGATTCCATAGCGAAAAAAGTCTACTCGCACCACCAAGAGGGATGAGACGGGCAAATATATTATCATGCTGTATAAAATCCAGACAGCACCACCACAAAGATTCGCGTTGTGTTTAACGCTTCCAGCCCTTTCTGTGCTGTGCTCAATAATCTTCCGAGAAAGCATCTACTCCGAGCCGATTTCTTAGAGATTAGAGAAGCTGGCCTTGCGAAGACTCTCGGTATACGCTGCAAAGCTGACACCGATGAGTTCCTCTGCGCTGTGAAGTGTCCACAGCACCACAGAGATCTGCCTTCATGATGGGTTCAATGTTCCCCTAAGGCCACGTTGCAGTTCCATGGTTTTGGGATGGGTCTCAGAAAGCTTACGCAGTTTATACCAGCATAGAACCTGCGCTTCATGTTTCAGTCTACCTGCTGACAGCGAAAATCAGGGTCGCTCCTGTGAAGACCATCTCCTTTTCTCGCTTAGTTGTGTGGCGCTGTCCTGCTACCTAGCATAGCTGCCTGTCGAAAGACAGGAGATTTTCTGCTGGACCGACTCAACAGTAGTGCTATCCTGGCTCACAGTGAAAATAGACGACTTTCGTGGCTAATAGAGTCGCCAAGATTGCACAATCCACCAACTTCAGAAAATGGTCCCACGTTCGCTCCGAATGCAACCCTGCTGATATGTCTAGCAGTGGTTTTCCCTCATGCGACCTCGTGTCATGGTGGTGGTGGCATGTGTGTCAGAAACCTGAAATTCAATTTCCAAAGGACTTCAGCAGTATTGAGCTAGTCGAAGCTCAAGAGCGGCTAGCTGTCCATACTCATCGCATCAAGTACCCCAAGGAGTATCAGTGTTTGCTCGACAAGTAACTTATACCAAGCCCAAGCCCCATCATTAATTTCAATCCGTTCATTGATCACAATGGAGTCATGAGAGCATGCGGGCGTGTGAAAGCTTCTGAGTCTTTGCGCTATATCGAAGACATCCAATAAGCCTTTCATGTGGGACCACGGTCACACGTCTCCTCTTTCGTTTCACGCATCGCGTCTCCCTCCATGGCGGAAAAGAGATGATACGATTGATCTGGTGAAGGTTCTGGATTCCAAAACTCAGGAATCTAGTCATTGCCACGATAAATTTCTTTCGAGCAATTGTAGTGTATCGCAAAAGGTTGCAAACCCAACTTATGGCAGTCAAACGATCCACGTCGTCCGGTCCGTTCGCTGCCCGCATACAGGCGTTGATTTCGATATCAAAAACTACACAGGTCGAGCATGCCTCATCACTAAAGGCTATGTATGCGTCTTCGTATGCTTCAGTACTACATTTAACAGCCAATTTGGACCTGATGACCGAAAAATTTCTGACCGCCTTCGTTCAATTTGTTTCTCGACGGGGGTGCCGCCAACAAATGTACTCCGACAACGGCAAAACGTTAGGTGGAGCCTCCAAAGTCTTATCACGTGACCTCATAAAAACCGCAAAAACTGACCATCACCATCATAAATTGCCAATATTGTGGTATACCGAACTAAGAAAGAAGGTAAGAAAGAGATTTAACAATAACAATTTTTTGACGAACTTTTTTGAATCGCTACAATATTTGAAATATATAGCATGATTGGGTAAAATACTTGCAAAAAACATACAAAGAGCAAGTTTCTAAATGTAGTCGGCAAAGAGTACCTTAAAAATTGATGGGGCTGGTCAAAAAACTGCATACAAGTGTGAAAGAGGGCACAATGACAAAAGATAGGATTCTATGGTCCATAGATTCGTTTGAAATATACTAGTGACCGCACCTGGATGAAATATACAAATGATACTGCAACAGCCCATGTTCAAGTGCTGCAAATATTTAACGCCATCATTCACACTCATGCATTCTAGTTACGCAGATCAGGACAAGAAAATAAATATATCAAGAAGATACTATTTGCTAAAAGCTAAGGGTTTCATCTAAGAATCATTTTTTGGTCTTACTTAGCTTTAGTGAGCTGGTCTGGTGCTCAGAATTATATATACCGTTGCCATAAAATCGTATCAGTTTAAATACTCATCGACCTTAACAATTAAGAGCAACATGTACGACTTGTTGAAATCAAGTATATTTGTCTAAAGCATGAGCTCTTAATTTTGGAAGATGAAGGTAAAGTATATCTCCTATTTGGTTTTTTTACTTTAAATAAAAGCTCGATTTTGAGTGATTTCAGTTAGTTTGATAATGGTGTAAATGGTGTAATATGTATATAATTTTAAAATTAGTGCGATATAGCAAAAAAACTGCACTTAAATTTATAATTGTTATACTTAGTTGCTGTGAAGCATTTTTGCTAAACGTACTTACCTGTCCCAAAAATTTTCTTTTGAGTCCTCAACCAAAAATGGTTTGAGTGGATAGCTGATTTCGTTACCCATGTACGAATATGATAGATACAAACAGGTAAGAACAGAAGCTTGAAGATCTGATTCCTTTGTTTCCTCTCCGTTAACAAGCTCGCGTACTAACATGTATACAAATACAACATTTGCTGGGTTAATGAACGCCACGTCCTAAAAAATGTACAATTTTAAAGCTTTAAATATCTAAGAAAAGATCTAGAAAGTAAGGTTCTTGTATGAAACACTTTTCTTTTTTCTTAGACACCTAGATCAACACTTAAATTACGCTGAACCCACGAACAATTGGTAAAGAGGTGCAACTGTGTGCAACAGGAGGAAGCATCTCCACCCCACAAAGTATATATTCTTGATCAACATCAATAGCCGAGTCTAACCATGTCCGTCTGTTTCTCCGTCAGCCTGTCTATCTGTCAATATGTATGAACGCGTTGATATCAAAACCTATAAAAGCGAGAGAAATGTTAAGTGAATGATCTCCTAGCGGCCGTGCAGTACGATTTTGTTTTCGATAATCGATAACTTGCAGCGTTTCCAATCGTTTCCGAAAAAAAGGCGATATAAATATCCTGTTTTTTTAGCAAATCATTGATTACTCTTTACAAGGGCTACCAAAGTTGACATGTAGCTTGTTTAATGTTACGTACGGGTCAAACATCTTTAATTTCATTGCTGTCGCAACCGTCCGCCTCCAACATAAGTTATAAATCAAATAAATAAATCAATTAGAACTACAAGTTTAAGACAAAATTTTAAATCAATTGTCTTTTTGGGATATTCGAATATTATATAGATCTATACATGCAAATTAAAGAATTTCATCAAGATCGGTTAAGAAACGTAAAAGTAATGAAAGAAAAAGTGTTGTTTTATTGGCATATGTGACCCATGAGGTGCGTTTGCAACCCAGAGACATGTGTAAGCATGATAGAGATATTTTTTTCTTTGGGTTGGCCCCGCCTTCAGTTTTTTGGTAGACCCTTTTGTGACTGTGGCAAATGGCACACACATTCGAATTCTCTATCATATCTTATATGAATGAAACGAAATAATTATATTTTATATTATAATTTTGTTTTTTTGTGGCCCTATTTGACTTAAAATAATTAGCTTCTTAGTCTTATTTCTGCAAGGATAATTTAACGTCAGCTTGTCAAACAATTTTAACGAATACCAAAAGTTGAACATTTTCAATTTCTATTCTTGTTTCTGTGCACACACATTTATTTCGCTGATATGATATTAATGATGACATTGAGAGTATCTCTTCTCTCTTTGTATTTATGATAACGTTCAATTTTTGTTCTTTATATCAATGTAATATATATTTTATGCTAATCAACAATGATAAGACTTATTAGTTTGATCGAACTGGTGGTAAGGAGTGAAGTTCTTCCGGCTATCGCACAAGAGGCGCAAGTAGATTTCAGCAGAAACTTGTTCAATTCCGTAAGAATTAGAGAGCCATTAAAATAAATTTTATTTTATTTTGGTTTATTAAAATCAGTAATTATAGAAAATGAAATGTCTCTTAATTAATTATTAATAGTATACATGCTACAAACAAAATTTCCAGTTGAAATATTTAAAACAATACCGCACAAAACTTTACTCTAATGGAGATGATAAGATGTATGTCGCGTCCCAAATGAAGGTGGAGTTTCAATTTTAATGTTCTTTCGATGTTAATAGGGCAATCTTTCCTCCAACGGTCGTCTTTCTAACGACTGTAATGGTTTTAAGGTTAAGATATTTAGCGCCTAAAGCGGCGGAGAATCCATGCTTTCCAAAATACACTTATTACTAAAAAATCGATATCTTAATGTATGCGCGCGATGTCCTCGATGATCTTCATTATGCTCCTTTGGCACTCCCTTTAATGCACGGCGACGTCACGTATTAACACCACCCTAAATGATGTTACACAGAGTGGTCCAAAGTAATCCAGATCCGTTAACTTAAATGGCCATTCATTGGCCTCCAGTTTGTCCTCTGGCATGCATTCTATGTAGCTTGCACACCCTATATTCAGAAATTACTGTAGGTAACATTCGCCTCAGCTTCGTTATCCAAATTATGGTCCTGATGTCGCCTATAGTTATATCCACATTTCACATTCATATTCACATGGCAGTGATAAACAATCAGTTTATTCGTTTTTTGGCCTCCTCGCACTATGCGGCATACATCGTAGGTGACCCTCAAGTAAGCTACTGCTGCAAATGCTGACTGGTTAGCGTCCACAAAAACAAGCAAGTGGTTTGCCCGCACAGGTATTGGTCCTCAGAAATGACGCGAGCTTCGAAACCTTTCCAAGTAGTTCATATCCTAACGCCATTTATTAAAGACGCGGGCGATCTCATCCGGTAACGGTTGCACATTTCATCGACAAATCTCACGCATTAATAACTTTCTTAGAAATCCCAAAGGATCAAATGTTGACATGCACAAGCTAAAGAATTCCTTCTATGAGGGACTCGCTCTAAATATAGTACACATCGGAGAACGTTATGGTATTTCATATTAAATTTGATATCGTCCGTGGCTGGCTGGTTACACCTGCCCAGAATCTTTACTTAAGCTTCGCTCCATCCGATGCCCCTGTTAGACCCATGTTGGCCCAAGGCGCCGGCTACAGTTTTCGAACTAGAAGTAAACTGGCACAATTCAAAACCAACTTTCGCATGTTATTCTCTTACTCTTTGTTATATGACAATGGCCACACCTTCACTGTCAGAACTATCGTCGTCAACATAGTGACATTCAATAATGGATTTAAAGGCGCCAGAATCTGAATCTCGATAGTGCAATGCATTCAAGGCCTTCACATAGCATGAATACACATAGCGAGCATGCTGCTTCAACTCATAAACGTCAGGCTCCCGGCTCCCGTCGTATCGCCACATGAATCGTTGTGCGTATCTATTTTGCGGTCAGATCAACACTTAATGAAACACCGCTCTGCTGTCTCCATAAAAGCCAACGACACTTTCTCGGATATGAAAGAGAATTGCCGTTACTGACTTGTAGTGCTGCGACCGCTTGGATAATGCAGAATTCAATGAAATGTCAGCGACCTTTGCTGCTGCGTCGAATACCAGTCTTATCCTACCGGGCTTATTTGAATTTTCATCTCAAAAGTGAGAAGATACCAATTGCAGTTTGCATTGGCAGTCCAAAATGCGCATGGTCTAGTCCAATCAGAAGGTTTGGTACCACACCACTATACAGTTTCAGTGGAAGTCGTGGACCGTTGCCCATTTGGACATCACGTCGACGGAGACTTTGCATTGGTAGATTCACGTCGGACATAGCATACTCATTTCGTTTGCGTTTATCCGCTCCACTTATCACTGGTTGCAGTGTATACTTTCTTATCTACGTTCCCCTTCTAAATCTAGGTCACGCAGTAGCTCGTCGTCGATCTTAATTACAGACGACCCATCGTCGAGGAGCGTAAACGCATTGATCCACATATTGGCTCAAAGAAATGTCACTGGCAATATCCGGAATAGTAGGCGTTCTCCATCCGAATCCTTCCTTTCCTTTATCGCGTCACTTGAGCATCCACAGACGGCGGTGCACTAATGTGCGAATCCGCTGCCTGTAGCATCCGTACAGTATTCACCAATCTATCACCTGCTGGCTGCGGTGCATAATGACTCATGACATCATGGTCATGTAAAAGGCGATGATGCCCCTTTCGGATCTTTTTACAAACCTTCACCTTTTTAGCGGAGAAGCTAGGTTAAACTCGTTGCAGTTCCTGACTTTGTGTAGTCCATTACAGATTGGACACCGTTTGGTGGGACCTTGGTGTAGCCCTTCATTACTCTGGTCAATGCTGATATGCAGCACGCTTCTGCTCCTTATTATCGACGTCCATAATCGTACATACCACGCGTTAAAATGTACGACAGTCGGGAAAGGCCTAATCGTAGCTGTATGCCTGTCCCATTCATGCTTGGTGGTAGCTTCAAATCCTCCGTCATTGTAGGATTCGCTAAATGCTGTTCTCCGTAAGCTGATTTTAGACACGCGGCAGGGTTACTGCCTCGTGTAGCATATGTCACGATTCTCGCTATGCTGTTGTTAGTGTTGCACTTCTTTACTAATTAGCTGGCTGTGTATTAGTAGGTTGTTTTCATCACGTTGGTCACATTCCTGGTATGTATAAGCAACGACTTAACAGTATCACTTGCTTCGCTGATTATTCCCCAAATTCGTACAGTTGTACGCCAAAGTTTTTTTCGTAATTGCGCAAAAGAAAATAGGATTGGCCTCAGGTTGGGCTCCAAACCCAGGTATATCTGGTCATTGGCGTAGCAGGCATACAGCGTTCCAGGGAGTCGCCCATGCGAAGTTCCAAGTTGCCTGCGTTGGCTCAAAAATGATCGCTGGTTGGTTCTTTTGTGCCGGCCACTTTTTGACCTCTGCAACTCGTGCTCTAGCGCAGCAACTCTCTTTATAAAATCCACTACTTGCTTACTTAGAAGTTGCGTGCTTAGGCTGGATCCTTCTGTCAATATTAAATCACCACTTCCTCGGCCCCAGTGCCAGCAGGTTGTACATTTGTGCCCATATCCACGGTGCTATGGCTTTTTAGGGCGCTTACAGTGGAACTTGCACTTATGATACAGTGCTAACCATTCTGCTTGTCTGTTTCGGCTGCACCGCACTTGCCTTGGTAGTTATCTTCTACCCATCGGTGGCTCATACTATATTTTACCCTGGCTGCGTACCAATGCCCGTGATGTGCACCGTACCTCCTAATGTTACACCACGTCTTATCTTTACTGCAATTCGCACTTGCTGTCGATTACAATATGAACTGCGTATTAAAGCATGTTGCGCTCCAAACGAAAGTTGAGTTGCAATTTGATAACTGCAAGATTTACGCATGGCTCCTGGTCAATTTACTCCGATGTTAATAGAGTCAGCGCATGTAGTGCAAAACGGTCAAGCGCATAGGTTAGAACATAGATATATATTCCCTCAGACTCTTACTGCAGTCTTTCCTCCTAGTGTCTTTTAACTGACGATAGCTTAAGTTGTAAGTACATATATACATTTGCACAAATACTTAATACGCTCTTTACTTATTTTCAATGGGTTCAGGGTATAAAAAAAAACAGAATTGCTTCTTTGCAGTG